TCACTAAAGAACTACTCTGGTAAAGAGCTCTCTGACTTGGAACATTGCCTAATCTCTTTCTGCCTCATTTTTGTCATCTTTAAAATGAATGTATTAGCCTAGAAAGGAAGGAAACAAGTTTTTGTTAAGTGCCTAATATGTGCCAGGTGCTTTACAAATATCTCATTTGATCTTAATAGCTACCGTGGGAGGCAGAACTTATTTCCCTCCCTATTTTAGTTTATTATTGTTGTATTATTATGTTAGTTTATTTAGTTTATTCCCAAATGACATTTAAGGAAACTGAGGCTGATAGAGGCAAGTGACTTGCTCAGAGTCACAAAGCTTATAAGTGTCTGAGGCAAGATTTGAACTCAGATCTTCCTGACTTGTGGCCTAGCTCTCTATTTACTGTACCATGTTGCTACCTAAATGATTTTTAGGGTCACTGTCAGCTCTAACACCTACTAATACAATGATCTTTATGTAGAAATGATAAAAATATGTTCATGTGATCGTGAAGTTGTGACAGCATCGTAGATTTAGAGTACATAGGTACTTTAGAAGCCAGTCTAGTCCAACCTTCTAATTTCCTAGAAAGGAAAATATGTCCTAGGGAAATTAAGTGTTCTCTCTGTAGTCACAGAGGTAGGTAGCATCAGAAAATAAATTGAAACCCAGACCCTCTGGGGTTTTTTTCTTTTGATTCAATTTTATTTTTATTTTCAAATGCAAAGTGCTGCCCTCTCACTTCTCCTCCCCCACCACTGAGAAGGCAAGAAAAACAAAACCTATTACCAATATGTATAGTCAAGCAAAAAAAAAATCACAAATTAACCATATCCAAAAATAAAAAAGAAAAGAAGGAAAAAGAAAATATGCATCAATTTGAATCCATCACCTCTCTATCTGGAGGTAGAGAGCATGTTTTGTCATTAAGTTGTATAGTTATCCTATGGCTCAGAATTCCTAAGTCTTTCAGAGTTGATTATCTTTACAATATTGCTATTATAGTATAAATTGTTCTCCTGTTTCTGTTTACTTCACTTTCCATCAATTCACAAAATCTTCCCAGGTTTTTCTGAAAACATTCCCTTCTGGTTTGACTTCTAAGGAGGTGATGCTTTTAAAATTCTACTATGTATCTCTTGGATATCCCAGTTTTCTCTTCTGGAATATTTTTATCTTTTCAGCATGTCCCCTCTTGAAGAGGCCTTGGTGATATTTTATGTCGGTCCTTTCATTCAAGAGAAAAGTGGATTTGGGAAGCAATTAGTTCCCCTTTAGGAATCAGTTCATGAATATTTGCATTTTCAAAGAAACGAACAGAATAAAATTTCAAACATAGATTGAAACTGAATGGCAAGCGAGATATTTTTAGGGATTGTGACTTTCCTGAAGCCCCTTAAATCTTACCACTCAGGTAACTGCCTCCACTGCCTAAATATGAAACTGTACTCTATTGACATGTTCTCACAGGAAGAGCTTATAAAAGCTTGGACCTTTGCACTGTCCCCTTTTTTACCTTCATGCATTCTTTACTTGGTTTTCAAAAGATGTGTGTATACAAACACATACAGTATAAATACATGATGTATACATGTATGTATATACACATGCACAAATATATATAGATGTGTATATACATATATGTATACATGTGTGTGTGCACACATGCAGATTTTTTTTGAAGAGGGAGAGATGGTATAGACTCATGATTTCATTTGGGTAGGGAACTTTCACTTTCAAAACTCCCTTCAGTGCGGCCATCCATTTGTCTGCAGTTTACAATCTTAGGGAGTTTACCAAGGCCTTAAAATGTTAAGTGACTTGCGTAGGAGAACACAGCCAGGACATATCAGAGGCAGGGCTTGCAATATGGTCTGACTGGCCACAAGGCTGACCCTTTATCCATCATTCCAGGCCACCTCTCTTTATCAGTACTCAAAGGGAATAAGATATCCACATAGTATGAACTGCATTGCTGTTGCTACAATTGATATTTAAGAATCATGTACAATAAAACCATGTTATATTATTAATATCAACCTAAAATAATTAGCTTGTAAATCTAAACTTACATGTTTTGATCTCTGTCTTTGTATCCCTATCCCCTAGAACATTTCTAGGCACTTAGTAACATAATAGATACTTAAAAAATGCTTGGTGATGATTGATTGTAACTGTGATTACTGAATTTTTTTTTCTGAATGGGTAAAACTTACTAAACTTACTAAAACTAAAGTTTTCCCAACGTAAGTTCATGAATATTACCAAATAAATACCGAATATCATTCATATTAGCATGACACATTATAGATTTTTCGGATCATCTTGTATTTAATAATCCCTTCAAAGAATTTGACTAAAATATATTTGGTGTCTAGTTTGGCATTAGACCAGACCTTCTCCTTGTTACTAAAGAGTCACAGTGGAAAGTCCCAGATTTTTCTTCTGTCTTCAAACTGATTTTGACAGGCTTGTGTAGGGACTTCCCCCACATATGCTGTGAGGAATTAAAAACTGACCTAGCTGAATACTAACAGAGTTGTAAAGAAAATAAGAGTAGAGCTTGTTTTTTAAAAGATTAAGGTTTATAGTAATAATTAATCTTTTAAAATATAATAAATGTTAGCGGCTCCAAACCTACTTATACATCAGAAATATATTCCCTTTATTTAAAGATATATATGAAAAATTCATATCATTACTCCCTTACAAGTGGATTGAGTTTTAGTTAATTTTTAACATTACTTAATTTAACATTGTTTACAAAATGCTTAATGATATTGCTTTTTAAACTTCACTTTCATGTCAAGGGGGAAGAAACAAACATTTTAGATTTTTCTAGGTAAACCAAAATTGCTAAATGTTACTATTAAGTTGGACTTTGTTCAAGTTTTTATTATTCAGAGTCCCCAAATCCCCCCCCCGAAAAAAACAAACTCAACCTATCCCTCTGCTTGTAAAGAATTCAATTCAACTTAAACTTTTGTCAAGAGTCTACTATGTAAGACATTGTACTAGGTTCTAAGTGATATACAGTACATAAATAAGAAACTCTACTGGAATTTCCAGGCAGCTGGGTGATGCAGTGGATAGAGCACAGGGCCTGGAGTCAGGAAGACCCAAATTCAAATTCAGCCTCAAACACTTCCTGTGTGATCCTGAGCAAGTCACTTAACCTTGTTTGTCTCAGTTCTGTAAAATGAACTGGAGAAAGAAATGGCAAACCACTCCAGTATCATTGCCAAGAAAACCCCAAATGGGGTCGTGAAAAGTCTGAAACAACTAAACAACAACAAAATTTGAATTTCCAGTATATTAGGCAATGTGACACATACTTGAACCTCTAGCATATGAAATAATACATTATAAATGCATAAGAAAGGTGCAGACATAGTTCTACTTGAAGTTTGAGGAAAGGAGGGTCATTCCTGACTGAGGAGAATCCTTCATGAAGAGCCATTGTTCCCTCAGTTGTAAATTGAAGATAATTTTTTTTGTCTGATACTTATTTATCTGTGAGAAAAGCCCTTTACAAACTTTGAACCACCATAAAAAATGTGAGTTATTATTAATGTGATTCCACCATTGGAATAAATTCATATTCAATTAGCCCCTGAGTTGCTCTATACAAAAAGTAACATAAAACTATGTATATTGTTGATTAATAAATGTTATTTGATGATAGCGGTTGCATAGTGGAAAGGATATTGGATTAGAAATTAGTACATCTGATTTGAAAGCTCTGATATGCCAGCTGGTCCCTCCCTAACCTTCAGTAAGTTACTGTACCCAAGAGTGTGCTGGTAAATGTTTAACAGCCAGCTCTCTGAGGCGAAAGAATTATGCCTAACACACTTTTGAGTTTAATCTGCATTATTAACATTTTCTCCATCATTTTATTAAGTCTAGACATTCAACAAGACAAAAACTAAAGCTCTGGTTTGTATCATTCAGCTATTTCTGATGCGTAAATGTAGCAGGTTGGAACAGGCTTGAGTGTACTCCTGATTGTATGTATTGGACCTCAATTTTATCATTTGTAAAATTAGGTGATTGAACCAGATCAAAAATTCTTAACTTTTTGTGTCATAGAACCTTATGGCAGTCTGATGAAGCCTGTTTATCCTTTGTCATAATAATTTTTTAAGTGCATAAAATAAATACGTTGATTATGAAGAAAACCAATTATTTTGAAATGTCAAAATTTTAAAAACAATTAAATCCACAAACCCTAGGAGAAGAATTCATGGACTAGAAGGTCTTTATAGTCCTTCTAGTCTGATGTCCTACAAGTTTACATTGATTGTGGCAGTTACATATTTAAATAGAATATAAACTCCATGAGGTTAGAGGTCTATCTACCTTACACAACTTTGAGTGTCCCAAATTTCAACACACATAATGAACACTCAATTATTGGTTGATTTCATTGTGTATGTGTGTGTGTGTGTGTGTTTCATATGTGTATGGGTGTGTACATGTTTTAAATTTACTATGTAGCATTGGTATCTCTGTAAGCTTTTTCAGCAACAGGATTTGATCTTTCTCTTTTCATTTCCTTAATTCATGATTGTCTTACTTTTTATTCTAAAGCTTAATGTCATTTGGCACTCTAATTTGTGATAGAATGAAAGGTGTTGTGTTTTAACTCACTCTCTTTTTGCTGAAAATAGTAAAAAGCAATCACCAAGATTATTTTTCCTAGTGGATATATGATTAAATGTCTTATTTTGATAGTCAGTTGGAAAGTATAACTTTTCTCTTTTAAAATACTATGTTAAAACATAATTTGAATGAGAAAATTTAATCATTTAAAGGATATGCTTTTTATTTAATTCCTCTTGGATACAAGGGAAAGGTGGCATTCAAATAACTTATTTACATGTTTTTACTATAGTTGTAGATTATAATTGGAAGAATAACTGGAAAGCTTTAATGTAAAGTGATTAAATTTTTATTTGCAGTGTTGTAATGAGAACCATAATATGTATTCTCATTGTATTCTCTTATAGATAATTTGTGTCCTGAACTGACAGCAGATGGACAACAGTTTATACAAATCAGTAGAGAGAACCTCCCTATTTCAGGTGAGCATTATAATTTCATCCAAAGACATGAAAAGGATGAAAGTTGACACAATATGTCTTATGCAGCTTTTTTTCTGAGTGTATAATGTATTAAATTAGGTGAGTCTTTGCTATTAGTCAGGGACAGTGTGTTTTCTATATTTTGTAACCTTCTGAGTACCTAGCAAAATGCTCTGCACACAGTGGCTATTTAGGACACATTTGTTGACTTGTATGGAATGGTATTTGCCATATTCTTTGTAACTTGAAGCCAAGGTAGAGCTATTTGAAAATTCAAGTGCTGAAGATCCTGGCATAGGATTTTTGGAAGGTATTTTCACTTTTATAGAAAAAGAAGAAACAATAAAAAATCATCTAAGAAAGGAATAATGGATAAGGTTGAAATCTTGAGATTCAGAAATGATTTTTGAATGAGTGAATGAAAAAACATTTATTAAAATTCTGTGCTAAGCTACCAGGGTTGTTCCTTTGGATGATGGTCTCAGTGGCCTTGAATTTATGTTTTTTCTTCATTAGCTTAGAAAAAGAGAGCTAGATTTTTCATAATTTCTTTGTCACATTGTAGAACTGCAATCCAGTTAAACTTATTAATAATTCTTGTCCCCTCCCTGATAGACATAGCCAGTGTAACCCTGGACAAGTCAGATAATAATAATTAATAATAATGATGATGATGATGATATTGATAGCAGCTAACATTTATACAGTACTTACTACGTGCCAAGCATGGGGCTAAGCATTGGGGATACAAAGAAAGGTGAAAGACAGGTCCTGTTCTCAAGGAGCTCACAGTGGCAGCTAGGTGGTACAGTGGATAGAGCTCTGGCCTTGGAGTCAAGAGAATCTGAGTTCAAATCCAGCCTCAGATACTTGACACTTACTAGCTGGGTGACCCTGGGCAAGTCACTTAACTCCGATTGCCTCACCAAAAAGAAAAAAAAAAGGAGCTTACAGTATAATGAGGGAGACAGCATGCAATCAACTACATACAAACAATCTATGTACAGGATAAATTGGAGATAATCAACAAAAGGAAAGCACAAGCATTGAGACATCAGAAAAGGCTTCTCATAGGAGGTGGAATTTACCAGGGAAGACAGGAAGTAGATATGAAGAGACAGAGAATTTCAGACATGGGGGACAACCAGTGGGATGTGCAATTTGAGGAATAGAGAGAACCAGCTTGGCTCGCTTATGAAGTGAAAGAAGAGGACTAATATAAAAAAAATCAGACAAGAAAGATAGGTTGGAATCCAGGTTGCAAAGGACTTTAAAAGTCAAAGAGGAATTAATATTTGATCCTGGAGAGAATAAAGAAGAAATCACTGGAGTTGATTGAGTAGAGGAGTGATGTGATCGGATCTGCACTTATGGAAAATCACTTTGGCAGAATCATTCTGCAACATCAAGAGAAGTAATTTCATCCTTTTGTCCCCTATATTGAGAAAATTTAATCTGGAAATTCTGCTGACCAACGTTAGCAGCATTTGAAAAATTTCGTCAATCAATCTATATAGAGGAACAACAATAATACTTCCAAAAGTCAATGTCTCACCAATTTTTCTTAAGTGTTCTACTGGCTGAACTAATTCATCATTTTTTTTTTACAGGTTTTGATTTGGGAGGTAGCTTTTCTCTGAGGAAAGTGTCCTGTGGAGATGAAAAAACTTGTTTTAAACTGGGAAATGCACTTCTTATTAGAGATACTCAGTAAGTAAAACTATTATATTTCTAATAGTTCCACATAAGCTTCTTTCCTGAATGATTAAACCTACTATTAACTCAGAAAATAGGTCCTGATATTGTGTGTCTCTTTAAAGTCCTTAACCAATATCCCATTATGATGCCTTAAAAGATTCAGTGGCGGAGCACAATATCTCACAGATTCTATGAAGGTGGAAAGGTTCTGAGTACAGGCCCAAAATACAGGCTTTATGTCCATTGTCTGAGTCACAACCTAGTAAAGTCAAGACTCACCTTCAAAAGGTCCTACTCCAAGTAGGGGCAGGTAGGTGGCTAGGGGCAGCTAGATGGTGTGGTGGATGGAGTGCCAGACCTGGAGTCAGGAAGACTCATTTTCCTGAGTTCAAATTTGGCCTCAGACACTAGCTGTTTGTCTCTGGGCAAGTTACCTAACCCTATTTGCCTCAGTTTCCTCATCTGTAAAATGAGTTGAGAAGGAAATGGCAAACCACTCCAGTATCTTTGCCAAAAAAACCCCAAAGGGATCACGAAGAGTTGGGCATGACTGAAAAACATCTGAACAACAACAACAAAAGTAGCAACACAGTGAAATCATAGTTCTTTCCGGGGTTCTGAAGTAAGAGATTGTGTGCTCTAGATTGAAATGTTATGGGGCAATTAGCCTACTGTATATTTTTATTTATAATAAGTTTTCCATTAGAATTGCAAATACATAAACATACACACACACACATATATATATTTATATATGTATGTGTATCTCTCTCTCTCTCTCTCTCTCTCTCTCTCTCTCTCTCTCTCTCTGACAGGGCCTGGCACAAAATATGCTTATTGATTAAGTAGACCTTTATTTTAGGAACTCTAAAAACTTGTGCTATCTATATAGTACCTACCAAGACACTACCATCATGTGAAAGCATAGGAGGTAGGGAATGCACCTTCTCTGCAGCTTTAGGGAGTTTTAGAGACTTGCAGAGCACTGAGAGATTTAAGTGACTTGCCTAGGGTCACTCAGCCAGTACACATCAGAATGAAGACATGAACCTAGATTTTTTTATGTACTATGCCACATTAACTTTCATATGAGAAAAATGATGAGAAAGGAAATTAAAATCAGTTTTGAAGAAATATTTCAGCTGTTTAGAAGGGCCAATTTTTTATTTCTACAAGACTGTAATATTTTACTTTTCCCAAGGAGATTTTTTAAATGTGAAATTTTAAATCTCTAGAAACAATACTATTTGGTAGCTAAAGCACTGCATTCAGAGTCCAAAGTTAATGTATGCTATATTTGCATAAGTTTGCTATATTTGCATCTTTTTTTTTAAACCAGCACCATTGCCTCTTCCCACGGAGCCATGGTGTGTCCAAGGGCTTTGCTTTTATGTATCGCAGCAACTTCATTTACCTCCTTTCTTTTTTCCCATAGTTTATAAAAGAGGCCAGTCTTTATTCCTCTACTGCTTTGAATCACAAAGAAGAGAAATTATTATGCAATAAGAGCTCATATTCTTAGTGTTCATGGTATATACTGAAAAAGATAAATAAAAAAGCAAAAGCTCTCCTGATTGCATGCAGTCCCCACCCCCTTCATTCTTGATATTTCCCCTCTTTTAATTTAAAGATACATTTTCCATAGTTTTCCTTGGGAATTTGTGTTGTCTAATGACTACCTAGGAGCCTAAGAATTGAATGTTTCAGGATTTTTTTCATTGTAAGTTTGTTTTGTGACTGATTTGTTCTGTTCTCTTCAAAAAAAGATTTTTTGTAGCAATATCTTTAATTTTTTAAATGGTTTATTGATCCTTTTTGGTTTTGTATATTATCATAATTTCCTAATGCTTCTCTTCCCAGTTTCCCCCCACCAAAAGATTTAACATTTGAAATATTGACAGAAAGATAGTTTACTCTACAAGTTAATAATAGTTGATATTCAATATTTTGAGACAGCTATGGTGTAGTGGATAATGAGCCAGCCTTAGAGCAGGAAGTCCTAGCTTGACCCAAACTGGTTGTGTGACTCTGGGCAAGTCAATTGACTTCTCAGTGCTCTAAGCATCTCTCCTAAGTTGCCCAGAAGGTGCTCACCTACTTTGGTAGAGGGAGTTTCCTCATTTGGAAGTTACCTATGCCCATGAAATCACAGGTCTAGTCCCTATCCCTAATAAGGATATTAACAATAGAAATGACTGACATTTATACAGTATCTTAAGGTTTGCAAAGCACTTTAATAATCAGTTAAACAAGAGTGAATAGTTGATATAGTGCTTTACAGCTTTTAGAACTAAGAGTTTGGTTCCTGGCAGGTGGCATGTAAACACAAAATACTATTAGTTGACAGTGCAATCACAACATAAGAGTAAAGCAGAGTAAAAATAGCATTGAAGCTCTCTTTGATCTCATATAAAACAATGAGGAGTGTCTCTATTTATGTGGGTTATTTCATTGTCATGCTGGGTAACTTAATATGTGAGTTAGCCAAGTTAACTGACAAGACTGCTGAGAATCTCAACATTGGGATTTCTCAGCGTGAACAGCCATTGGACTATCCTAACCTTAAATGCTCCAGATAAGCAGCATAGAAAAGAATGCAATGATTCATGTAGAAATGTGTCCTTCCCCCACTCCCCTTCACCTACATTTTTTCCTTGTAAGATACACCCTTCCCAACATTGCTTTTCAAATGACCCATTTAATAACATTTTAAGTGAATTTATTTTTTAATGAGATTAGACTTAAAAAATAAAATCTTCATTAAATGTTAAGAAACAAATGTAGGTGAAAAGAGAGTCATTGTATATAAGGGATTATCACAAATCATGGCCAAACAGGGTTAGCTGAGGCAGGTGCAGCTTCACCCAAATTTGTGTCTTAGCAGTATTGAGTTCTGATGACATCAGGTGCACAGCCTCACACACTTAAATTGGGTCAGTTCATGACTAGAGAGTCTGTCAGAGATCATAGAAAATCTACAGTTAGAACAACCTCTTTAGAAGCAATCTCTCATTATCAAACTATTTATTTTCATTATGAAGTTTTTATTAGTAGTTTAATTAGTATTATAGTTTATATTATCAACATAACCATTAATTATAATTATGATCATTAATACATTATTAATAACAATAATGTATTATTAATAATTTAAAGAAAGGTAGCCAGTTCTACTCCAAAACTCCAATTCCACGCCAAAACTGAAGCTATGTAACCTCAACCTCTCCATCTTCTTATCCCCATATTGAATATCAACTTGCTGATTTAAATCCCATCAATGTAATTGAGTGGAGAAAGGATTAAAGTGGAGAACTTAAAAACATTTTTTTTTTTGGGAATCGTCATTTTGGGGAAACATTTCATACCGTTCAGTCACTGGAGAGAGAATATGTCTTTATTCAGGCCTAATGACTGTTTGCCCTTGAATCTTTATAAACACAACTATGTGGCACAATTTTATACTTATTTTAAAAGCCTTCCACTTTAAATCTCTACTTGATCCTTTGGCATATGTAAATGACCTTTTTGGCTGTCAGTAGCAGAACTCTGGTACCTCTACTACAGGAAACTGGAGGGTGTCTGATTAAGCTGACTAGCTAGTGTCAAGTACCTTGGCATCTCTCCATTTACATTTCACTCATTCAGCCAAAGTGTGGGTTATAGTAAACTGTGCTGCTAGGGTACTTCTCTTGCATGATGCCATTTTGATTTTTCAATGAGACCAGAGTAAAGTTACAGGTATTTATATGTTTGTAAATAAGCTACCATGCAGACTCAGTATGGGAAAATGAGGATGCTAATTTATATTGAAATGGAAATGTTTCCTGTGACTGTGCCAGATGAATGAATGAAAAATCATTTATTAAGCACTTACTATGTGCCAGGCCATGTGCTAAGTGCTGGAAATATGAATACAAAAGAGCCCTTTTTTGCTCTCAAGGAACTTATATTCTAATGGAGAGGCAACACAAATAGGGCAGTAGTGGCTAGAGAGGAGTGTTCTGGTTTGGGAAAGTACAGGGGTGGTAAACAAAGTCATAGGGCAGTTGATTGACATGTTCTTAGCAGATGCAATGCTGGTGTTGATTTGATTATTGCTCCTAGAGCAAGATGTGGAAGGCAGGGAGTAGTCTATGTGGTATGGCGAGAAGATAACCTGAGTGAAACATAGTTGTAGATCTGGGGCCAGATAGATACAGTATGACTAATACATACTTACATACTCTAAGGTAGTGAGCTTGCTGCTCATTGTGGCCCCAGTGTCTAGAGAAGTCAGATATTCAACACATACTAGAACCTGTCACTGATAAAGGGAACTCAAAGGTCATTTATACATGAGGTGGTAAATGTAAAAAGGGAAAAGAAATCTTAGTGTAGTGGCAATCAGGCCAGATTTACTCAGATAACCTCAGATTCAAATCACAGCTCTGCCACCTACTAGTTGTGTAACCATACATCTGTGTAACCACGCAAATGACTACCTCTCTGGGCATCAGTTTTCTCATCCATAAAATAAAGGAACTGGACTCGATGAGCCTCTATGACCCTTTCCAGTTCACAAATTATTATCCCACAATCTAAGTGTAGGATGGATTGAGAAAGTGGGCTTGGGGATCCAGAATGTATCTAGAATAGTCAGAGAAATGAAAGATCCCTGGAAGTAACTCACGCCCTAGGGTTATAAGTAGGACCCACCTGGGTGACTATTCATGAGAATATTTAATGCTATTATCTAAGCATTCCCCCAAATAAAAAACAATGGGCCCAGATGCCATGTTACCCAGTTTATAAAGTTCTTGTTTTAAAGAGAAAATCCTAGCTTGTTACTTTTGCAAATAGCCTTAATTATGGATGGAGGCAGGGATCATACCTTAATTATGTCTATGCAAGTTCTTTCTTGGTGATTATTTGGGCAAATTGGTGAAGTTTCAAATGAAAATACTCATTAAAGTTTCCATCAGTGGGGGATAATCACATCATTATCCTAGCTTATTTGGTAAACATGGTATTTA